GAGAACACAGAGAGAAAATCGAAATAGGGTCTTGAATGCGTAATTTGGAGACACAACATACATCAAGATCCAAAGTTTCAAGGGTCCTAGCTGAGGCAGTTTGTTGATCAATCTGGTGGAGTGTGCGGACGTCGAACGCGCCTTAATAAAAAAGATATTTCGGCTTCAACTGTCCTGTAACTTCTGAGCTGAGTAATATCTAATGGGTGGCGTAAACAGGAGGCATCTCAGATTATTCGGGATCGAAAGGAAGAACTAGGTGAAAGGAAAGAGCTTTCTCCTATGGGTGTCTAGGACTTTGGGGCACGTTATACTTCGCAGCAGCCCATACCGACGAACGTGTCCCTGACTTAAGCATTTGACTCAAGAACCTGACCCACAAGGCAGTGGGGCGTAGATCCAACGCGGGAGTGTGACCGAAGCATCCGTGTGAGAGCTTATAGAGACCTTTCACGCAAGGTCTTCAAGTTTCGGTTCAGTTTATTGTTCGCGGGTGCATTGATTGCCGATCCGCTGTTCGGGATAAGCCCTTAGTTTCATACATCCAATGAGACAAGCGGAAGGTAGATGGGATAGCAAATTATTCGCTAGGGGCTTCCCAGCTTGGGCGGGTGGCACCTATCTAATGAAATGCTAAGACTTCTTCCATCGTTGGTGCTTCATTTGAATAAAAGAGCAGAATGGAGATTGGAATGTTGAAAGCAAATTCAAGCGGAAGATGGAGAATTTATATATAATGGTGTTAGGGGAATAATGAGTGGATGCACGAGCGCCACTGTTTGCGATATTCGACCATATCACTCAGTATCTCTAACCATCGGTGACCATCATTCCGAGGTCCCCAGCCAGGGGCCTATGTGACCTTATCTCCTGATTGGGATTTTCATACCCTCATGCCAGGTCTTCGTTTGACCACCCTTGACCTTTTGCCAACCGCTACCTACCTCAGCAAACATCGCTCACCGTATACAGATTAAAGTGCGGAGATCTGCGACAAATACTACGTGGGACAACCGAGCCAACAGCTAAAGACACAACTCCACGAACACACACTGGCAGTCAAACGACACGAGGGTAAGTCACAAATCTCGATCCACATGGATGCTGAGAATCATGTCTTCGAACTGGACAAAGCAAGAATCGGAAGAGGACCCACCAAGTCAATACGGGAATTCATCGAAGCATAGCACTCCAGGACGGGTAGTATAAATAAGCAAATAGAACTAGAACCTATCTATCATTATGTAGAGAAACACTGGTAACCCGAAGGTGCCTCAGCTAGAACCAATCCAAAACCAGTTCTAACCAGTTTGGAACAGGTTCAAAACCGGTTTGCTTTTGCTCTAGCAAAGCCAGTCGACCAATGAGAAAAAGGATGGTTACCATGACAACGCAATAACCAATCAAATAACAGCAAACGTTGCTATTGACCAATAGGATTAAAGGGACAAATAGCCAATCACAATCCTCAAACAGAATTTTATAAGCCATGTCCCACTGGGGATTGGTGCTTTCTCTAAGTCGCACTGATGATGTTGCCTAGCTTGGCTACGAAACGTCTGCGAACAACACTGCCTGCTCGGAGAACTCACCAACACCAACATCCGCATCCCGAGCTACAATCATTCCTCATCATTTCAAATAGACTGTCGATGTTTGAACACCGTCGTCTACGCAGCATTGCACGAATCTGATGATACATCCGGACGAGCAATGATGTGGTTAGGTGTGGAGTTTAAGCCAGTCGCGGTCGTCCACTGGAACAAGTGATCGACTTCAGATTACGTTGGTTGGGGCATGTGTTACGCATGTCACCAGATAGGTTACCACGGCGAGTGATGTTCGCCGAAGTAGATACCGAGTAGAAAATTGCCAAGGGTGGTCAAGCTAAGACCCGGCATGAGGGTATGAAAACCCTGACCAGGAGACTGGGTCACATAGGTCCTGTTAGGTTCCCTGGCTGGGGACCTCGGGATGATGGTCACCGATGGTTAGAGACACTGATTGATATGGCTGGGTGTCGCAAACAGTGGCGCTCGTGCTATGAAAACCCTAAGCAGGTAACTGGGTCACATAGGTCCTGTTAGGCTCCCTGGCTGGGGACCTCGGGATGATCGTAACCGTTGGTTGGAGACTGAGTGATGTGGCTGGGTGTCGCAAACAGTGGCGTTCGTGCACCTTGTCAATTTCTTTGCAACCTTAAACCACTGAACTTCTCCATTTTCTTTTCGACTCCACTTTCAACTTTCCTTTCTTCCCCTATTCTTCATCCAAATGGGCAGCCAAAAGACAGCAACCAAAACCGGCGCACGAAAGTGTATGTTTATTGGTTGTACAAATTGAAACTGACCTGACCGCGTCACTCATACTGACGCGATTTTCTGTTTTGACCAAATGAGCCGCGATCGGCGTCCTCTCCCCACCGTCCCTGGTCCTCGTCAGTCTGTAACTAAGCCAACCGGGATGGTGTTTTCGAATGCGTTCGGCCAAGCGGCGGGTGTTACGACCAATGCAGGTGGTTCCACAGGAACACAAATTGGTAAATGGGGAATGAGGTCATTTCCACCGGTAGCTTGTCTTTTATCTGCAATGAGAGAACTGGCTTGGAAGTGCAAATTATGCGTAAATCAGCGGCATAACATGTATTTCTGACCGCAGTCTGGAGACGACCACTTATCATTTCAGATTATGTCACCTTTGAAAGGAATGGACAAGTAAACTGGTTTCTTTTTAGCCATCATCTCAGGTTGCACTTTTGTGATGACCTTCATATATTCTTGAATAATCTTATCTGGATATCCATTTTCTATGCTAGTCGTTCTGATTTTTATCAGTTCTTCCTCACAGGCATCAGGCGAATATATTCCCCTTGTCCTGTTCACCACGCATCGAATCAGTGCCTTCTTACGTTGTAGAGGTAGAGGCATCGGTTCGATACACGGTGAACAGGACAAGGCGAATATGTTCGCCTCAGCTTCCGAATCAGGGGTTCTCCAAGGAGCCATTTTGTCTCCTTGCTTTTTCTCGACTTAGTTAGCTTCCATGCCTGCTTGCATACTCTCTGCAGATAAAATTCGCCAATGACATTATCTTTGGCTTACCCTATCCCAACAACTGTCCTCCACTGTCTCCACTGTTCAACCTGATGTCTCAAAACTTAACGAGAGGTCTATTGCACGTAACTTTTCGATGAACCCATCTAAATGTATTGATCTATTTTCTCTCTGCAGGGGTAAATTATATTCTGACTCTTTAAGCGTGCTAGCTGCGATTCCCGTAGCTATTTATGCTACCAGGACCGTATCTTTCATGATTTGTCCAGAGCTTTGAGTTAACCCCGAAAACTTGTTGTATTTATCCGTATCTTCATTTTTGTGGGTATTTGACAACAATTTCAATCGAGTGGTGACTTGAGATAATTGCTTATATTCTAATGTAAGGCAGCTGATGCTCTGTGCGTTGTAAAATGTTGCTATAGGACTGAATTGACCCATCCAACTGAGGATGTAGAAGAGGAAGTAGACAACATTGGCTGCTTGAGCAGCTATATGCCACCTGGCGGATGCATCATAGATGAAGTGTCGGCAGATATACAGAAGACCTGATTGACATATGCCAGTTTGGTGAATCTGTGGCACCGTTGCGATATCCGACTGTCTGTGAAGAGTCGAGTGTCTGCAGAAGCAGTTCGGCCAGTGCTGCTTTACAGTGCAGAAACTTGGCTATTACCGGAACCGGATAAAAGTAGGTTGTCGGTTTTCGAACACGGCTTTCTACACCGAACTTCCGAAGTCTGACAACGAAACCGGACGAGCAATGATGAGGTTAGGTGCAGAGTTTTAGGTATCTGTGGTCGCCCACTGAAAAAAGCGGTCAACCTCCATAGATTACGCTGGTTGTAGCGTGTTGCGCATATCACCAAGCAGGTTACCACGATATGCGATATTTGTCGAGCCGGACAGTCATCATCATCGTCATCGTACAGTGAATTACGTTGAAGCGAACTTCACTGATCGCTCACAAACTCGTAATGCATACAAGATTAGTCGTAATATTTGAAGTGCGCAGAGATTGGGCGCAATCTAAATGTGCATACATACCCTTTGGAAGCATTCTGTCCTGATGCGAAGGGACAACAAGAACGCCACTGCTGTCGGTTAGCTTCCGTATTCTTCAATGTCTAACCAACCAGTTGCAGCCTTTCGGACTCAAACCTGGAAGATACGTATTCTACCTAATGGCTGTGTGCATTTCTTCATGCCTCGTTTCCACGTCCTCCTCGTCCACGACCTCCACGTGGTTTTTCTGCTGTCTGGAGCGTTCGCTGCAAATGAATTTCGTTAAGGTAGGTGACCGTTTGACATTTCAGAGGTGTTTCTCTTCGGGTGGTTCTAATCAAACGATCATTCAGTGTTTTGCTGCGGCTCCTCGGGTTCGAGCCATCCCAGCGTCACCAATCTATACTTATAAGCCGCTGCTCTGTTACCTGGCGCCATGCGACGCCTGTATACTGTTCGCTACTTAAAGCATGTTTCGCCGCTTCTCATAATCAACTTATCATAGTGATTATGAAGTTTATCTCCTGCTGGTAGTCACACTACGGTGTGTAATATAAAGCATGTTGGATTTCGCGTTTGGCTGCTAAACGTTTTGTGGGTACAACCCTTAGAATTTCTCCTCATTTTGTTCCTAACAGGTACACATTGGTTGTTCAATTATTCACCTCGCGCGCCCGGACACAGGAAGCGAAGATTCAAGCACAACTCTCTGAATTGATACTTTTACGTTCTCGAATACCCATTCTTCTTGGTTCATCAGCTCTTCGTGATCGAACTTTAGATAGTATTCCTTTTGGTGGATCTTTCAGTGATCGCTTGTCTCAACTTCTACGTGTGAGTCATATCATTTTTCCGAGCAAAACTTCTGCTCTTTTTGAACTGCCTTCATATTACATCGATCTTTTCTATTCGCAAAATGGATTCGGGTTCGAAACTAACCTGACTACTATGATTTACTGGATTTTGAACATTGTTATGCCTGTTTTGACATCTACCGCTTTAAGTTACGAGTAAACTGATCAAATATCGTTATTACTGATACACTGATTGTTCAATGAACGTTTGTCCTCCTACAGTTTATTCGAATTTGAGGCTGCAATGCCATCTTTAGCCTAAACTTGAATCATATTTGAATAGATTGTTCTGAAGTGCTCTCTGTGCTAAATAAAGACGAGTATTTTCCAGAGAGCATCGTTTTATGGTTTTCGAATAATCGTTCGCATCATTCATTCGGGAAAGCAGAGCTGTATGCTACCGAGCGCGTCTTCAGGTCGCGGATAGGGGAACGGCCGTCGTCTCGCGGCTAACCGTAAGTAAGGTGGGCCTAAACCCCCCGAAAAAGCGGTCGCGGACGATCAGCGGCAGCGCTGGGGTGTACCTCCTGGCACGGGTTCTCCGTACAAAACACCGCAAATGTCTGTGGACAGCGCTGTTATGTGGCGAGTA